TGCTGTATTCTCTTGCCTGCAGTATTGTTGTGAATCCCAGCCATCCTCCTCCTTGCACAGCTCACAGAGTGGGTGCTGCTAGAGGTGTTTTCTGACATGCACAAGTAAAGGCTTTAGCTGGGTAAGTGCCCACCTCAGGCAGGAGGACTGGGAGCCTCGTGCATTTCCAGGAGGAATGTCATGTCTACAGCCCAGCACCAGGCACCCAAACCAGCACGCATGTGGGATTTGCAAGGCTTATGTGCAGAAGTGTGGCTTCCCCATGCCAGCATGTTGTGGGTGAAAGTCAGATGAGGAAGAGAGATTTAGCAGCTGCCCAGACAACACACCTTCCGATTTAAGCCCATGGGCTCTACAGTAGCTTCTCTGTCAGAGCTCAGGGGTGCACAGCCTGGTCAGCTTGCCCCTACCTCTGCCACTTGCCATGGACAGTGACGGGAGCAAGCGAACAGCACAGACCACAAGCCCTGACCTAAGAGAGGGCTGCACAGGTACCAAAATAGAATAAATTAATTTAGGTGGCCTGCTTTACACAACACATACTGCATGTACCATTGCTGAAGTCTTTTAATGAGTTCCTTCTACAGTAAATTCTGACCTTTTTTTTGTTATTATTTTTAAGTCAGCACAGTTCCAGAAATGTCATCCTATTTCCCACTGTCATACAAAGAGCCCAAGGCTGGGACTGAAAACCTGATGAAAAGACTCATACTCTGTTTCTAATCTGATGCTTTTCTGCCTTTAGAGCATCTGCTAGTTTCTTTTTGCCTGTGTGCCTCTTCTGTTTTGATCTAACATCTTCCTTTCCTCTCTCTGTTGCAATACCTCTGTCGGCAGCGCTGGTTTCTCCTTCACACACAGTTGATGTGAAAAAAATATATTGCCCCATATCTGGGCAGGTCAGCTTCAAGCACTCCAGAATCACAGCTTCCCCTGATGTTTATTGTGGCTAACAATGAAAAGATTTTTTTACACCGAGGATCATGGTGTATTTTGCACTGTAAGATAACCCTTAGATGTAAAAATCATTATTTATTTAATAGGAACATCAAAGAAAACCACTGCAGAAGGGAACTTCAAAGTTTCTCAGAATAATCAGATATCTGCTATTATGTGGGATTTTTTTTTTCTCCTGACTCTATAATAATGAGTAATAAAAGTGCAGTTATCAGAAATCATTGAAAGCATTACTAAATTGAGCTAAAAAAAAAAAGAGAATTAAGTGTTTCCTTAGAAGCTAGAAATCTAGTAAGTGACAGGATTGCAGGGCTAATGAGAGAAAGAGGAGGCTGATTTGGAGCAGACTGCAGTGCTTCTGAAACCCACTCCTAATTCCAACAAAGATTTTATTTTGGGGAGGAGGAGAAGTACCATTGGGAAAGCTCGTTGCTCAATTTTCTACAGGACTTGCTTTAATTAAATGCTTATTTAAATAAGCAGGAGCTCAGCAATACAAGTATCCTATAGCATCATTGTATATTGTGCTCCAGTGGTATAGAAGCACCACTGAGGGCAGGCCTGTCCCCAAGCATTACATATTCTAGGTAGAGAGTGCCACAGAAAAGACATCCTTTGTGGCTCCCCCACTACAGATTTGTCTGAACGACTTTCTAAAGCCTCTGATGACTGACCATGAAACAAGGCCCCAGTTGATTAAGGAACTGAGTGGTTTGGCAGAAGAATGGGGTCCTTCAGTTTAAATTCAGGCCAGTTTCCGTTTTCTTAGTCCTTTCTGTGGCTCACAGAGAAATCCCTCATCATTTTTTAACACTTTGCGCTGCGTGGCTGAGCCTGGGAAGATGTGGGCTGCATGGGTCACTGTGGGCTCCCTTTCTCCCTCCTGGGCCAATCCTGCAGTTCCGTAAAGCCTCAATGCAGGAAAAGAAAGATTGCCAGGCAAAGCCTGTGGGAAAGGTGGGTCCACTTTCCTGATGTCAGAAGGGACGAGCTGAGGGAAAAGGGAGGCGTCCACCAGATGAAGCATGAATCTTCCAGTGGGAAGCACTAAGGTCTAGGTGATGCAGTCTGTGTCTGGAAGGGAAGTGTGGTGGTCTCTGCCAGCCCCAAGCCCATGTACAATTTGCTGGCCCTGTGTGTGATCTGCCTGTGTCTGATGAAATTTGGGTGGCAAGTTCCCTGCTGTGTGTGTGCCACTCAGTGAGCAGGCATTTGTGTCTGATGTTAATATATGCAGCTATTACTCCAGTCCAGGGATGGTTGTGTCCACAGAATTGGCAGGTTTTGCTAACAGTAGTGAAAGGATTCTTCATCCTGAAAAAACAGGGTTAATTTCCTATTCCCACAATAGGTGCATTGTTTGTATGCACATGTGTTGGGAAGGAAGAACAGTTTCTAAGTGGGTAGGGCAAGGATTAAGGTCTCATTGGACCTGGATTCTTGTCTCACAGCTGTCAAGGATCTGGTCAATGGTCTCCAGCAAATCACTTCATCTCCTCATGGCTCAGTTTAGCTACTGTGAAACAGAAATAAGGGTGCTGACCCTTGGTGAAATTCATACACTGACTTTTATTAGCAGAGGGTATGGGAGGTTATATCAGTATTATTATTACAGCATGCATAAGGAAAACAGTAGATAGAATTGGAACAAAACCAGATGGGGGGGGGGGGGGGAAGGATGGAGCTTAGACTGGAAAATAATATTTTATAGCAGTGACAGCAGGCAGGAAAAAGAGTTATATGAGAGCATGTCCTGTTGACTAAGAGTAACCAGTGCGGTCTGTACATTAGAAGATGTGGGTGACCTTTTGGTATCTGTGTCTGATGTCCTCAGATTTCTCAACAATAATTTGTGTATTGCAAAGCTCTTCCCAGCCTTTGGTTTTGTTGCTTGGTGTTCTTTGTCAGCACTCCATGGTCCTCTGTAGGCAGCTGCAGCATACATAGCCCATGGTTCCACCTCACTGCTGGCTGCTTGTGGTGCCCCAGCTCCCCAGCCTGAGCTAAAGAGTCCTGCAAGGGCTTGTGGTGGTGCATCTGGCTGGCTCATAGCATGGCTGTAACTCACTGGGCCATGTCGGCATAGGGCCTCTCTGGTCCAGATGGGATCTAGCTCGCCAAATTACAATTGTTTTAGAACCTGGCTGGTGAAGAGCAGTGACACCTCCAAAGACAGCTTAAGCTGCTTGCAGTTAGGTGTCCAGGAGCTCCAGCCAGCACATCACCCTGCCAGGGATGTCCAGTGCCATCACCAAGGTACCTGGGGGTCTGTATGCAGCACAGGAATGTTTCAAGGGTGGGCTGGGCTGCGGAAGGATCACTGAGTTTAGACATTCTGAGGTACTGCATGGATTAGGGCTGTTTAGGAGAGCAGTGCCTCCTCTAATGTGGTGGGAGACAATTCATCCTTCTGTAACTCATGCAGAATTGTTCCCTCTGACGCCACTAATGAACATCTCTCTTCTTGCAGGTATTGGACATGTGAGCTGCATTCTTGGCTCAAGCAAGGTACTCTTTTTTTCCATTTTCCTCACAAGAGCAAAAATGAAAGGAAGTTAATTGAAACAAAACCTTTCACTTAGCTGTTTAGAAGAGGGAGCAGAGGAAAGTACTCAAAGTACACAGTGGCTGTTGCAATTGCTCCCTTCACCCATCAGTTTAAAGGCTGGACTATTTACCCAGGATGTGGGGGATGTAGCCCTGACTCTTCCTTCCAAATTGCACAGGTCTGCTGGCAGAACTATCACCACTGCAGTGCTGCTCAAGACATCCTGCGCTGATCCCCCAAGCCTGAGCTGAGAATGAGTACTCAGGGATAGTGCACAGGTAACGCTGACCTGGAGGGGACAGTGAGTCAGTCCACCCCAAAGATGAGCTCAGGATTTCACCCTGGTGGAACCATGCAGCAGGGATGGACTGAGGAAGACTTACCCAAACCCACCATGAGGCAAACAGAGCCTGAAAGAGGGTGAGAAATGGAGGCAATGATTTAGGCTGCGAGGCACTAGGAAATAGGGAAATACTCAGAGGATAGCCTGATGAGATTAATCCTCAGAGGACAAAGAATTTTGAGACACACAAAATAGAGCATTTATGCGTGTGATACCTGGGAAAGAAGGAAGGCAAGGGACTACTCACAGATTTTGGTAACATATGGTGACTTAAGAAAGAAGGTTGCCTAAACTACAAAAACAAAGATGATATTCAGTGAGCTGTATATGAGTGATCTAAAAATATTCTTGAAGTTCAGAAATAGTTCTGAACTTGCAGATTTTGACAAGTTGCATAAGTTATTTTCAGAAGGCAAAAGAATATAATAGTATGACTGAAAAGGAAGAATATATTTGTCCTGAGGTCTTGAATGTTCTCTTTGTACTTGCAGATTGCATGAAAAGCATAGTGGATAAAAAGAGAATATGCTTCCTTTCCTAATAATGAACAAAATGATCGTTTGCTGTTATATATGCAGTCTGATTCCAGAAATATATGCAATACTATAATAATAAAGTAATATCAAATACAAAGATATATTTTCCTTTTCCCTAAATGCCACATTTTTAAAATGTTTGTGGTTCAAGTGGTCCAAAGTAGATGATTGAAATCTTCTCAGAGATAATGTTCTGCAAGCATGTTCAAGCCCTGGACTCCGATGGATCTTCCACAAAGAGTCCTTCCCAAGGAAAGGGGCTCCTTCTTGCGGGATGTGCAAAACAGTAAGAATGCAAAACTTCAAAGAATACCGATCTATGTATAGCTGGCAAAGATACTGTCAGTTTAATTCTTAAATCAATACAGGCACTTGTAATGATTCCTAATTGCATGAATCCTGATTCTTACATCCTTTGGCATTAGGGCTGGTGAAATCAGTGCAGAGAAGTTAAATGTGAGATTTGTACATCTGTAACCATACCAAAGGACAGGAGAGAAGGGCCGGAGATTCACAGTGCAGTTCTCCACCAGAAGGATTTTTACTGGGTCAGGAGGAGTAAAAAGGAAGCCTACCCTCAACACAATACAGCATTTTGGGGATAATAACACATGGTAGCATATAGAGCTGTTATAAGGACAAATTTTTATGGATCAAGCCTTAAGGAACAGGGGCTGGACCGAAAAAGCCCTGCAATAACATGTGTGATATAGTACTTTCTTGAACCTAGAAAGCAAAATTAGAGGGGCTGGAAAGAGTAGTATTCTATATGAGATTTGTGGTATTTTTGTGGAGAACTGACTAACAGGCACATGATGCTTGGAGCAGCTTGGAAGAGTGGGGCGCAAGTGCTGGGACAGAAACCTGAGCTTTCAGAGAAATTAATCTCCATGATGTTAAAACAACTCCAGTTCACACATTAATAGGAAAAAGACTCAAGTGAGAGATTTCTAATGAAAGGGTAGCCATGATCAAGCCATGAACAGCAAAGAGGCATGGCAAAGGGTTTTTAAAAATGACAACATATTGAGGAAAATCTATATGGAATTTGTTGGCTCCAACTGCAATATTGAGACAGCTGTTGAACTGCAGCCTGAAAAAGCGTAAAATGTTGAGAACTGGTAACACAAGCTCCAGTTCTGAAACACTTGTGTGACAAGAAGAGAAACTCGTTAGGCAGCTGAAAATGTCATGGAACTAATTGCTTCATTTTGCTAGCTACCTTCTGCTACATGCACATCAAAAACCACTCCGTAAGATGGAGAATATTCAGCTTTTGAGGAGCAGTAGTAGACTCTGTGGCATTTGAGCACCCCCATGCTCCAAACTTCTGCTGTCTGGCACCACAGTAAATAAATGCCACTACTCCCATTTTACAGACAGGGATGTAGATCAAAATAAATGAAGTGATTTTCTAAAGGTTGCACTGAGAGTTTGTTGGCAGGTCAGGGACCAAACCCAAGACCCCAGAGAAGTAGTTAAATCTTTAGCCACTGGAATTTTTTATTGCTGAATTGTGAAACAGGTATTTTTTGATAATCCGGAATTGTTATTCTTCTCTTCTTTGACAGATTTAAGAGCTTTCATGTGCCACCTCCTTGTTCTCTCATGTGTTTATATGGAGCATTGCATATTTGGTTGAAAGCCAAATGTGCCTCAGTTCCTCATCTGCTCTTTTTATGTTGCAACTTATCTCCCATCCCACCTCAGCATTGTCTTTTATAAGTGTATCTCTAATCTCAAGCAGCATTTAGCAAACCAAGATACCAGTGTCACAAGGGGTGACTGCAACAGTGGTGCTCCTAATGATCCCCCCTAGTACATCTATGGAAAACTTGAGCAGCCCTAGGAACAGATCACTAGGTGTTTGAGATTATTTTCAAGAACCTTCACTAAGCATTCACCAGGAACAGGGAGACAGCTGTTAACACTCCAGAAATACCAAGTGAAGGTTTGAATACCAATCCAGAAAAGGAGTTAAAAATATAGTAGATGATTTATCAAGGGCATATTGGAGAAGTGTGAATAGAGATGGTGCTGTCATGATGTATCTCACAGTGCCTGATGCTGGAATGACTGCTAAGAGATTTCCAGTTAGACACAGCAAAATTTATGATAATTACAAGTGTTGAGTGAGTACCAAAATGGGTACCAAAAGACAAAATGGGAAGAGCCTGAGGACAAGGGAATTTGTTGAGGACAATGGAATTTGGGTGGTTGGGTTTGTTGTTGAGGTCTTTTTTCAGATCTGTTGTTTGGTTTGATTGTGTTGTTTTTAAATGTTCTGACAGAGTTTATTATAAAGAGGTAAGAGGAAAATGGCATTTTATCACCATCCCACTTGCCATCAGCAGCAGTTCTCCCCCTCCCTAGCTCCAGAAATCAAGGGATGGAGAGAGGACAGAGGTCTGGGGAAGGAGTGCTGAGTGCTGCATTGTAGTGTGGGTGGTGAGGCCTGAAGGAAGAGCATCTGCTGCTTTTGTTTCCCCCACTTCATCACTACTGATTTTAGAGGCATCTGGAATGTAGCCAATCATACAAAGGAAGTAACTTAATCCAAATAATAGGCATTTGTAATAAAATACAAAAGCATACTTGGCAAGAGGTTTTACAAAAGAAGAAATGTTTTAACCTGAGGTGTGATCACACCTGAGGTGTGAACTGCTGAATGCTGTGTGTTTAGGAAAGATGGATGCAAAATTGAAGGAGCTGCTGGCACTGCTTGAGTGATATGTGAACTCAGTTTCATCTACATTACTTGGAATTGGCTTTTAGCTCCTGCTTCTCTATTGTCTGCACTGCTTTGACAGTAACTTTATAAAAGTAGGAGCCAACTGCTCTGAGGGATCTGTGTCTCCAACCTGGGTGTTCAAGTCCAAGTCCAGCCTGGTAGCTGGCTGGCCATGTGTGTGCACAGGTGCCACTTCCGTGCACACAATTGCTATGCTAGTGCCAAGAGATGCATCACGTACGATTTGTGCAGGCACACATGCAAATAGATTAGATAACTTGAAAATCTAGTCCTGAAAGTATTCCAGTTATTACCAGAGATGCAATTTACCTTGAATTTGTTCAATAACAGCATTTTAGAATGAGGCAATCCTAATGATTACAAAAAGCGACCTGCAATAATTTCTCCTCACATGTTCCATTAATTTTGAATACAGTGTATGGACACTAAGCTCCGATTCTCTGCCTTTGATCCTCTGGTAGCTATTTATTCCTACACAAACGGGACTCTAAATTCTGCTGAACTGGAACTCAGTCATCCTGCATTGCTCTGCTAGCGTGAACAAACCATTTCTGAAAGGTGAGTGGGCTCTGTAGTGTTTGGTGGCAGTCTGAAACTGGTTCTACACATGTGAAAGGCTGGGGTCAGCCTCACCGTATTTGGCTGGCTTAGTAAACACTCAGGCTTAGTAAAAATTCCTTTGTTTCACCTCTGAAAAGAAATCATATCCAGTAGGCAGTTCTCTGCTCTTGATGACAGTGAGCACTCAGTAGGAATGATGTAATATAGATTGCTGTCGTCCTGGGCTCAGGACAATTGCTCAATACGACATGAAAAAAGTTTATTAAAAATTGTGAAGATTTTTTGAGATAAACTGTGGCAAGCTACCAGGAATTACTCTGTGAGAGAAATAATCACCCTAAGAAAGCAGAGCCCAGGACACCTGGGAGGACTGGGCTGGTCAGAAGTGGCAGTGAGAAATGCTTTTTAAAGGAAGCAAAGGGAATTCGAAGCTCTTAGAAGAAATGAATGGATATGAGGGACTGGTGCTTTGAGCTGTCTCAAAGCTATTTTGAGACTAACTCCTGACCTTTCTCTTACAAGTTACTAAAACCGATGGTTTGACATATGCCATTTATCCATCATAGATGATTGTTCAGCCTGAACAAATACCAATCACAGGGGGCAGGCATAAAGGTACCAAGATTGCTACCTTTGGGCTAGCACATAAAACAAGTGAGACATGACTTAAGAAAACTTGAAGTTGCTTTATGTAACTCATTGCCATCTGGATTACTTTCCTGGACCTTCTCGATAACAGGAATATTGCCAAAAATAGCTTCCTCTGATACCATAGGGCACAGGAACCAACTACATAATAGTAATGTTAATGCATATGCCTCCTGTTGCTTTTCATGTCTTTTGCCCCTTCCTTTCTGAGGCATAATTAGAAGAATCCTCTATGAGGGGACTTAACTGCAGTCATTTTAAGATGGGTGGATGTTTTATAAAACATCCGCCACAACTTCTGAATCACACAGTACACCAAACGAATTACAGATATTGGCATCTTCAAGGCATTGCGAATAAAGGGACTAGAGGGAGATAGGTCCATATTTTACTGCAGAAATACAGTTCTTGGTGTAAACTGTCCAGGAACTCATGAAGTTAGAAACTGTAATCCACGTATTTATGATCTTTGAGTAACTAACTCTGGAGATAAGCTGCAATGAGCCAGCATTTCTGTGGTGATCCTTTCTCCTCAAGCACTGACAGCTTTTCTGAGTGCTGTCATCTCAAGGGAAGGCACTGGGGCTAGAACATCAATCATTTCTGAGCTGTTGTCAAGCCCAATAGGGCAGGGCAAGCCTGAGCTGGGATGCTGCTGCCAACATGCTATTTTTCTGACTTAAAAGCTTATCCACTGGGCCCAAATGGTGTGAATGGAAAACAAAGCAGCAAAACCCTAGCTGACAAAAGTGGATGGAGGGAAGCCAGGACTAGAACAAAATAAAAGCTGCAAATAAAATCGTCTCAGCCCAGTTGAAAAAAGAAGACTCTCATGTCGCTAGGAGAAGTCTATGCAGTGATAGGCACAGAGTGGGTTTGGACATTGATTTATGTCCTCTCTTACAACACTGAAACATGGTAGGGAAGGCAGAGTTGTCTGCCCAGCACAAAAAACCAAATAGTCATGTTTGTTTTCTCTTCAGAAGGAGGTGATATGAGACAACCTCCAGTTCATTGTGTCCTGTCTTGGTTTAGGAGTAGCTTTGACCTCTGGTCTCTGGGCTGTGTGTGTTTGACGTGAAGAGTTGCCGACCCAAGGAAGACCCTGAGAGAGACTTTGTCGCAGAGCTGAGTTTTTCTTAGGCTAGCCCATGAGCCCACCAGTTTACATGTGGTTTCAAAATGCAGACAGTGGACACAGCTTGAAGATACAAACTTATCCCCAAGCGCTATTATGATAGCTGTGGAAGTGGCAGTCACTGCAGAGACACAGCAAGACAGACCACTGCAGCCATGTCCTCTGTTCATGAAGGGGCTCTCGTCTTCAGGTGCCAGCTAGATGTCCAGACCTGGGAGGAAAAAGGGCTCTGCCAGAGCTGTTCAGACTCCTAAGATGATCTCATTGTGCTTCTAGAGGAAACCATCGGATGGTGTAACTTCTGGCGTGGTGAAAGTTTTCCAACCTGGGACACTCTGAATGTCTTCCTTAGCCTTCCTAGTGATGCTAGGGTTGACGGACAGATCCATCTGCTGAAGCCTCAGAAAGAGATTGAGGTTCCAGAGGTGCTGCAGGGAGGAGGACTGGCAGAGACAGGCCTGTGCACAGCAGGGGCTGGTCACAGACATCTGGCCTGGGCTTGACCTGTCACGGCCACCAAAAGGGCCAGAAATAAGTGAAGTGGATGGGAAGTTGTGGTGGAGGCTAACCGCAGGGCAGGAGCACGGGCTGCATCTGTCCACAACACCCATGTACCATGGGAATGGCCCTGTTGACACCTGAAAAGCAGTTCAGCATCCTCTCTGTCCCCTGCTTCCCTGTACTTTTCTTTGTGTAATACCATTGACTGTGAGCACTGACCTGAGCGGATGTAGTGTATTCAAGCTTCAGGCAAGACTTACTCAAGTTTGGCTGTAGCTGTATCTAAACCACTTGTCTCAGAAAGGGTTTTGGCCATTATTTTCACCCTTGTCTTAATATAAAAACTTAAGGTTTTACTTACTAGCAGCAGTGTGATGAGAAAGGCCCCTGTAGACTTCAGGGCAGAGGCACTGCATGGGGAAGTACAAACCACAGTCACCAGAGGCAAGGTTTCTTCCCTTGTCTTGTCATTACTGATGCACATCCCGAGGTTTCAGCCAAAAATGAACCCCACTTAGGGCACTATCTACTATCTGCAGTTGTGTAAGAGTGAATTGAAGGCAAATGTGGTTTTGTTCCTTGGCTGCTGTTTAGTTGTATACAGAGACTTCTAGAGCTTTCTTAGGTACCTCTACATGAAAAAGGACAGAGTTATTTCTGCCTAAAAGTCTGCCTAGCTGTTTGTGCTACAAGGCAATGCCTTTTGTCATTGCTTGTTCTGTCATTGGTAGTTGTAAAAATTGTTTCCTGAACCTTACTGTTTCTCCTTTTTTTATCTGTCTCCCATAGTGCTACTGGGTTTTCCCTTTTAATAAAAAAAAGTCATATATGCTCTTATGCATATTCATCATGAATTGAAAACAGGAAACAATTCCTATAGACTGACAGTAGGCTGCTGACAGTCCTAATGCACAGTAGCAACTTAATCTAAAGAATCAGATTTGTCTTCGTCTTTGTTTTTACTATATCCTGTCAGCCAGTCCTCCAAAGCAGACTGCTCTTGTACCTCAGAAAATAGAGACATTAATTCACAAATTAGCCTGGCATTGTTAAAAGCAAACTCCACCCCTTTCTGAAAGAACAGGTTTGAACTGTGAACCATTCGGTCTACTTCTGCCTTCAGAAACTGAAACTACAAAAACTTCAGAAACTATGACTTAAAAAACTGTTAGCCTGAACTCCAGCTCTGAGAAGGGGACAGGGGAACCACCTTTCCCATTGTCTCTCAAATTATCAAGATATGTCTTAATTCTTAAAGCTTTGAGCCAGTTAATCCTGTCTTTATTGTTGCAGCACAAACAGACTCAATGGGATGTCTGGACTAACCTATAGACAATAGAAGTTAAATCAAATCTCTTCTACCAAGCAGAGAGGACCTCAGGCTTAGAAAAAGCTGGAATGCAGAAATGAATGCTGGAATGCAGAAAGAGGTAGGCAAACCCAAGACACTGAGGTATCAAACATACCAAATGGAAGTGGTGGGTGGAGAAATAAATTGGGAGATTAGGAAAAGAGTATCAGTATGATGATAGACACTTTATATAAACAAAAGAAATAGCTATATAAAAGATGTGTATAAAACTTAACGAGAGGTGAGTGTTCAATGACTAAACCCTAGAGACCTAGAGAGGTAACAGAAAGCATGACAGAAGCAACAGAAGCTGAAGATCATTAGCATGATAACAGTGTATCTTCAGGCAGGAAACTAAAGAGACCAGAAGGAAAGTATGAAATATCTTGCTAAGAAATAACAGGGTTTTGGAAGCAAGACCTGAAGTATGTTATTAGTTGAAAGGCAAGAAACCTTTACTTTTAGCCAAAGACTGCCTAATCTGCCATCTTCTGTGTCATTGGGCAATAAATGAGTGAAGAAAGATTTGCTGAGTACTACTCTAGCTGACAAACTCAGAAGTTAGCCCTTGTTTTGGGAAAAGGCAAGCTAACTTGAAATGCTGATATTTAGCTATGGTGTCAGGTCTAGCTGACTTGTGATGAGGGAAGTGTTCCAACAGAAAACTGAAAGGCTTGTCTTTTGGGGCTGTGTCCTTACCCTGACACACAAAGGAGAAGCCAGGTTAGCTCAGGCAGGCAGGAGCAACCTACATCGCATTGTAATTTGGCTGCCTGCTGCTGAGTTTCCTTCCTGCCTGAATGGCAAGTGATTACAGGCTGCAGCTACTAATTATTTCAGACAGTAGTTTGAACATTTGAGGAATCAAAGGCATAGCATTTATCTTCTGGACTCTTTCTTACTTTAGATATTTACTACTGGTGGAGCAGGGCAATAGCATGTTCTCTTGGACACTCTTAGCAGCAGCCTGTTTCACTCAAACAGGTTGAAATCAAAACCCCGAACCTTGTTTGTCTCTACACTTGCTGAAAGAGAATAGTAATTTAAATTGATTTAATATTCTTTGGCTGAATACAGAATTTATGTCTCTTTAGACCTTATCCTCAGAGGATACAAAGTACTTGTTAGCCTCAAAAGTCACTTAGTTGTTTGGGGTTTTTTCCCACTTGGGTGGAAAATAACAACAAACTGAAAAACCCAGGAAACAAGACTCTAAAGTCTTAATCTATCTGTAAATCTCTGGGGAGAATATTAGCTTTTTATTGTTTCCCTATCAATATAATGCAGGAAATAGTCCTAACTGCCCCACCTCTACAACTTCCCATTATTTATCACAAGAAATGTTCCTTCTAGCCTCTTTCGTTTACTCATGCAAATAGATTATGCAAACGTATCCTAGAATTCAGTGTATGGAACAGAACAGATAAAACTCTGTTCAACAAAATGCAAGATGCCTTCATGTGATCCTACTTCAGAGTGTGAGCTGACCTCTGTTTGGAGAAGTCACTGTGATTGTATCACTAACTGAGAGTATGAAAACACCCAGGTAGTCTTGGGAAAAAGGCTAATCAGAAAGTGTTCCTTGGAAAGCACATTTTGCAAACTTTTGTTTTATAAATATTATTTTTTTAAATTAAATTTTAGAAGTTTTCAGATAAAGAAAGCCCTAAAATAGTGAAAAGAAACTTCTAAATACTTGTGTGTCAATTTATGTAATTTTTTTCGATATTACCTATAACTTCTTTTCTTCTTTTTCAGTTTGAAAGAGCCGCAGAAACTAAAATCTACAAAAACCTGCCATGGGCAGAATGCAGAGCCAAGGCTAGGTTTCCAGAAGAATGTGTCAGTAGGAAAGAAACCTACAGCTAATAAACAAAATGCCTGGAGTTGTTATCATTAAGTTATCTTGAATAAACTATGTATTGTCTATTTCCTGAAGAGCGTGACCAAAAACTCACTGAGACCATAGATCTCCCAGTAGGTTATGGCTAGAAGCCCAACTAATGTTTTATGCCTCTTCTTGGTTCACATCCCAAAGGTTTTCTTTGTTTGTTTTCACTCATTCCTTACTCACAGAAAAGAAAAATCCCAACAGTGAACTCAGTGGGGTTTGCAATACAGAATTAATTTTTCATTTGTTAGAGAGCACTTCCTCCAGACTACAGAGAAATTGTTTCCCAGCATAGAAAGATCAGTACTGATGTGGCTCAGACTTAAAATTTAGTAATGTATTTCCTCTACTGGGGACATTCTCAATTTCTTTAGGGCATTAGTGAATCATTCTGGTGGTGGAACCAAACTCAACTTATTTGTGTTGAATGGCAAAACAACAAAAACTTGCCCAAATTTGAAATTATCGCTGAAAAAAGAATAAAAGCACAATTGTCTTCAGCCATTATGGCTGCCCTAATTTGAGTCACACAGGAAAATGCTTTGTTAATGGCTTTCTTCTTTTACCCTTCATTGGCAACAAACCAAACCAAACTAAACAAAACCAAACCCGTTTCTTTGTTCTTTTTCCTTTATGCATTGCTTTTCCATCTGGTTTGTGAAGGAGCTGGTCCTGTGGGTTAGAAATTATGCTGAAATACTAGAGATCTGGAGTCATTTCCACAGACTTCCTTAATAGCCACAGACTGACCACTTTACCTCTACTACTATTCTGTAAAATGGGAATAAATCCACTTTTCCTCACAAGGGTGTTGCTAGAAAACCTATGTATTGCTGCAAGATGCCCAACCACCACTGGAATATTCAAGGCATATATATTTTGTATTTTTCCTTACAAGTGTGTACTGTGTAGAGTTTAAGCTAGTAAGTCCTGACAATGATTCATGATGATATGATGATTCATAAGAGGAACAAATTTGAATAGATTTAAATATGTACATGTAAAAGAAATATGTGCAGTCTCCCAGCACTCTTTGAAATATAAATGTGAGAATTATTTTAGGTATAATGCTGGAAACCTTCACATTGGACCATAATGGCAGGTGCCAGGAAGAAGTAGCCAGCCAAAAGGACAGATTTGTTCAGCTTTCTGTCAGGAGACCCCAAAAGCAGTAGTGGCAGAATGCGTTTCACTAATGACATCTTCTGCTTTTAAGCCCAAGTAGGTAGTTTATTCCTGTGTTTTCTGGACCTGTGGTCTTTTTTCTTTTTCTCTGCTTTTCTACATCAGTTTCTCCAAGTTACATTTTCATTTTATTCCCCATTTTATTCCCTTCCTTATAGTATTATTTACAACTGAATAGCAAAACATTACAGGCTGAGCAGACAGGGCACTATATATAGCAACAGCAGGGCTGTTCCCCACTCTAACCATCTCCCTCTGTTTTTATGTAGATAGTAAACGACGGGCCACTGAGGGAATTGATATTTGTCTCAAGGAAATGCATGTCAAAGAAGTTGAAGCACTGCATCCTGCCCACACCAAGGGGAGGTAATTTAGGCTTGACAGAGCAGTACTGGCTTTTCCTAGCACTGAGGAGTTGGAGATGAGATCTTTCCTCCTTTGGCTGGGTGCCGAGAGCCCGTGTTTTAGAATAGGGTATTTACAATAGCAAATGGTAGTGTTCCCAGCCTGGAGTAACAGGCAAATTTCAGCCAAAAAGGAAAAAAAAAAAAAAAAAAGTGGTATTCATTCATATCATCACCCTCTGCTGACCCCACTGCCGACATAAGCCTCTCTCAGCCTTGGGAACCAGGCCATGCCTTGGCCGGTGGCTCTGCTCTGACCCACCAGGGCCTGGACCAGCCTCAAGGCTGCCATTTGCTTTGTTTGTGCTTTGGGCTCATTCCTCCAACTTGCCTCCCCTGAGCCAGCTGACTTGCCTGTGCTTTTTTTCCTCTGCCAAGTCTTCCTTGCTGCCTTCTTTCAGGTCTGGAGCTGCTCTGCTGCCTGCTCTTTTTACAGCTGTCCAAGTGAGCAGAAATAGTTGAACCAACAATAAAACTTTGCCAGCTCTGGTCACTTGGGTCCTACAACTTAAACACAGCATGCAAAAGCTTAAGCAGCAGCTTTGCTGATGGGGCTTAGCTCGAAATCCACGCAAATCCAAGGTAATCTGGAAGCAGCTCACTGCCTTTTCTTAGTATTAGTGTCAGGCAGCTTCATCTGAGGTGGAGGCTGAAGGAGCTGGGAGCTGTGTGCATGCCTTGTCAGAGAAAGTTTGTGATCTAAAATTTTATAATCTGCATAGTGAGAATTGCCAGAAAGTTTAGTGCAGAGGTTCTGCTTTTACCAGTGCAGAGCTACAGGGCATGAGTTCAGGCCCAGCTCCAAGAAGTGACTGAGGTATTGCAATGCAAAGGAGCAAAGGAGATGCTGTTTACAAGGCGATTGGTTAAATTTTCTGCCCAGCCTAAGGGTTGTTCATGTATTTTACCCACTGGTTGATTAGTGTAAAATACAATAGTATTCTGTCTGGCAAGTGGGGAGTAGAACTGCAGTCTCCACCCTCCCAAAGGATGACTTAAATATGAAGCTATGGTGACATGCTTTTCCTTTCCTTCTGCTGATCAAATGCATTTTTAATTCTTTAATGAAAAGTAGGAAGGTGCGAAAATGAGAGTTGAAAACCCTCTCTTTCTCTAGAAAAGCTTCAGACAAGGTGGATAGAGACCTCTCCTAGGAACACCACTAACTCTCCTCCTGCCTTTGGTGGAGTTGAAATCATACTACTCATGTTCTAAGTGACCACATAATCCATGACGAACAAAGTGTTACCTCCTCCCCGGCAGTGTGCTGGAGCATTTTGTACCCAGGTTGCAGCAGTGGCCAGTCATCCAGCGAGCCATGCCACCAGCCTGATTGTACAGGACCTATGGGCAAAAGCAAAAGCACAGGTTTAGTCACCCAAGGGATATGAGGTCTTTATGGTACACGGCTGGATTTCAATGTACTTTAGGAAGCCACTGTTCAGTAAGAATTGTTTTATACCCTTTGGACTATACAGAACATGCATGAATACAGTGGTCTTCCAAAAATTAAAACTGGACAGACTATTTACTCCAGATGCCTACTCATTACAGGCAAAGCATTTCAGATACCAATGAAAGGAGTTAGTAATCTGCTGTGTTTGCAGGGTGAAACATGGTACAAATTTTTTTAATCCTCTATCCAGAGCTCACCTAAAAGATTTAGGGCCAAATATTTATCTTATTTACACAAGTGTAAATTTAGAGACATTTCATCTGAATTAATGTACCACCAGGTGGTATATTTTGCCTCAGACCTCATTATTTGTTGGACCATTATTTACATTCAGCCACTGTGTATATATACATATACAAAGCAGTAATTTTGCCAGCAATGAGAAGAGAGTAGAGTTTGCTATATAAATCAGTATTTCTCAGTCAATATGTTTCAACCCCTGAAGGGGTTATAAAAACCATCTGGGGGCTTGTAAAGCACTGAAAATTCTATAACAATCCAAAAGCAAAGAAAATGTCATTTCTTCCACTCTCCATATAGCAGCACCATTCTCTTGGCAACCTGTCAAAACCATACATAAAACAATAAATTCTATAGGCTTATCACCTTTACCATAATTTTTTACTTTAGCTTTATAAAACATGTATGGTAACTGTGAAGTTTCTTTTACTTTCATATAGGATTTCCAATCTGAACGGCTTGAAAAATGTTACTCTGTTTGGCCTAAAAAGGTGGTCGTTTTCATTAAGAGCCTCTGCCTTAGTCTTCTCCTAAGCTGCTTGTTAAAACTACAGCCTATTTTGTCAAGCTTAGGCTTGTTTGTGTTGGAGCCAGTTCTTCTATTTCACCACAACACTATGCCTGTCAGCTTCCTCTTTAAGCCTAAATCATACAGGGAAACACCAACATTTCCCTCTGTGGGAAGAGATGTTTTGCTTCAAGTGGAAAAAATGGATGAGATTTCCTGTATCCTCATTAGCAACTTGGTGCATGGTTTGAAATCTACCCTTTCTAAGGTGGGATACCATCTGAAGAACCTCTGTGCTTTTAAGTATAGCCCCACAGCACGTGCAGCTTGTCAGTGAATTTTGCTTTC